TTTTAATTTTGTAGTAAAAAAATATCTCAGTTTAAAATAGTTGTTTTCAAATGTCAAATAAGTATACAAATTTAAAACAATGAATAAATTGTAATGTACCAAAGGTTATATATAGGTTGTCTTTGAGAGCAGAGCAAAATCAATGACTACTTTGTGTACAGTTAGCAACCAAGAAACCAATGTAAGCTCTTTTATTTTATTTTGAATTTAATAAACTCTTAGAGGTTTAAACATGTGGGGCGAAATGTTTATATAGATGTTTACTTAAGAATTTTATTAACAAATTCAGTTAACAATTCTTTTTATTACAGTTTCCAAAAATTATTTTAATAGTTCTCACATTGCTTCATAAATTTTTAATTTTTTCAAGATTTCTTTAAAAACAATAAATGCCATTTTACTGATGATGAAAATGGTAGCTTTGATAATTAATCATTCACAAGCATATTAGATGGATGTTTCATTTTGAAAGTTAACAATTTTCAATAATAGACAATTGTTTTGACTTTTTTTTTTGTTGTTGAAAAAATGACTATAGTAAAAAAAATAATTAAATTATGCTTAAGCAGCTTTTGTAGTTATAAAATAAAAATATGAGTGTGAAATGATAATTATTTTCTTTATAGTATAGGAGTAATGCATAAAATAATACAACATAAAAAAACTGAAGAATGTCTGCATATTGAATGAATGAAATAAAAAAAAATTTAAAAAGGAAATCATCCAGATTTCTCTGATAAAAGAAAAGGTTCAAGAAGAGAGATGATAAAACCTTTATTGCCATCAACATGGAGTTGGAGATACTTTTACAATTAATCTAGATTACAGCGATTTAAATGCATATTTATTTATGTCAGAAATTTACTGTGAATGAACATTAAAAAACAGAAATGAAAGCTCCTTTATTTAGAAACACCTACCAAATGTCAGAATGACATTTTGTATCTATTGAGGAACTAGTTTTAGAGATGAAAAGATTTTTAGCATTGAATTTAGTAAAATCAGTGAATAAACAGGCATGCAACACTTTGTGCATTTGATTAATACATACTGCATGGAGTGGTTAGAGATTTCATTAGCTTTTTATCAGATGCTAAATTGCAAATGAGGTGAGTTTATTTTTATGATTATAATAATATAAATCTTATATGAAAAATATGTTTAAAAAACACAAACATGGATACAAGCTTAATAAAACTTAAGTGTAATAGCAACAAGAAAACTGAAATCTTACAAAAAAAACCTGTTACATGTGTTAACATCATATAGTTTGTAACTCAGAATAGTTTTATTTGAAGATCTGTCGTGCAAAGTAAATTTGCAAAATAATAACTGGACATCCTAAGGATCTAGGCTATTTTATTAGTGCTGATGTCAGTACTGAAAGACTAACTGGCAGAATATCACAGTTTTAAATCGACAACCTATGATCTATATATGAACAGAATAAAGAGAAATGAATAAGCATAAGCAATTACATCAGGCTTTGCCAACCTGGGGGTGCTCACAAAGGGTGCAAGGTGGCATTTCAGGGGGTGCAAGGAAAAGGATAGCGGCGCTTTAGACTTTAAATTGTGAAATAAATGTTCATTTTTATGTTTTTTATTTATTAATTTTAATTAATTGTATGCAATAAATCTCAAGTTCATTTGTTTTCTAAGTTCTATTTATAATTCAACAAAAATATTAAAAGTATCTATTTTTCCAACTTTAAAATACTTTTTTTTCACTTTTGATGGGGGTGCTAGACTTAATAAAACAAAGTTAGAGCTCTGCGCGATTGCTATACCTTATACTTAGTTGACTTTTAATAAAGATTTTAAATAAAGTGGTCAATATGATTTCAATGCTTTTTGTACCTTCATTTTTTATTTAACAACACATGGAACATTTTCTACAAAATACAATTTAATTTAAAATCTCTGTACCTCACTTAACATATATTGTCTATTTTAAACTCAAGGTTACACATAGTAAATGATTTGTGAACTTCTATCAGCCAATATTGGCAATTATGAACGAAGTACAATGCCATGACACAATATATTGAATCTATCACCACAAAACAATACCAAGACATTAAGCAATGTTAATAAAATCATGACTTGTGCATGGTTTATCTATAAGTTTTGAACATTATTAATGAATATTAATGCTTTAAAACTATTAAAATATTAATACTTTCACAAATTTGTTTTCCTAAATGGCGGTACTCCTTGGTCGTGTTTTTTCTCTTGTATTTCACAGCATACTTTTTAACCTTAACTTCATAATAAGGAATTAATTATTGCAGCACTTTTTACCATGTCACTGATAGTTGAGAAGGCGAAAATTCTAATTTCAACATAACCGGTATTATTAAAGTTTAAATAAGAAATTATCTTCCATCTTGAACCCTTGTCTTGATACTGATCAAATAGAGATGACTTACCGAATAGATGATGTAAGGAACTGTACAAACTTCTTGACATAGCTTTGTTTTGATATGGGAGATTTTTTTTTACTTGAAATAAAATACATCAATGACTTAGCAATACTTGACACTCATCTAATATTAATAGAAAAATTTCTTAGATTAACATGTTCTGATAACACAAAAAAATCATTCAATTCGGTGATTAATCAAATAAATTTTTTTTAAATGATACTCTTTGACATCATAACAAAGTAAACAGCTATTGATATATTCAACTGTCACTGGATTGGTTTCATGAAAAATATTGTTAAAAACATAAACACAAAATTATAATTTTTAAAAATTCCAGATACAACAATATTAAAGCAATTAGGAACCACACAAGGCATTCAGTGCATTCAGTCAAATAGCACATTTCGTTCATAAATTACTGTTGACCTTAAAATATACCAATAGGCAATTAATTATACATAAAAGTTCTATGCTTATTTGCTTGTATTGTTTCTTTGAACATTTTACAGAAATTATTTAAATCTATAATTTTTTTTTCTTGGCATCAGGAAGTATGTAAATATCTTACATCAATATCATATAGCAATTGTGAAATATGAAATATTATTCCTATGTGATTATGTCAAAATGACTTGACTTCTACCAATGCTCTTTGCAAAGTGAGTGCAATGGTTATGACTTCACTCACTTCATAACTTAAACTTCAAGGAGCACTATGCAGGTAGAGTGTAACTGTTAATTTTTTTTAGCAATGACCAGCACACACCATTTTAATATAAACTGATAACAGGAACTAAAGTCTTTAATATTCTATCACTAAATAAAATATAAAGACCATGTATTATTCACAACAGACATTGCAAATATCAACCATTTTCAGATGCATCAAGGACACTGTTAGCATTAGCATATGCTGGTATATTATCAAATTCTTGCAGGCAAGTCTTCTGCATTATCTGTTAACAAGTCAGCTACCATGGTATGTTTTAGATGCATAATGCTTATTTTGTCAGCACAGATATCCTTTTATACTATATGAGGCAGTTTGTCCCAAAACTATTAAAATCATCCTTTACAAATTTAAGATGATTTATAAATACTCACCACTGGGAAAAATGAGAGGAATATTTGGAAAGGTGCTCATTATCTGAGCAAAATAATGTCAACTAAGAATCTTTTTTTTACGTTTCTAAAGACTTAACAATATTATCATATGAACTGCTAACATGCAAAGTTCAATGGGATCCACTTACAATTTAGGAAGACAAAAAAAAAAAAATAATAATAATAATTACAACATGAGATATATTGTTTAAATTTTAATTATAGCCCTTGGAAGCTGTACCTAGTTCAAAATATTAAGAATAGAAAATACCAATTAGTGATCTCCTCATACAAACGTTTGGAAATACTCAAACGTTATATTGCAATAACTTTAACACATCAACATTTAAATGAGTAAAAATTATGCACTGTGAAAACAAAACAGTTTTTATTAAGGTGCCAGGTTAATATTTCTCAAAGCGCTCCTTGATATTTATACAGGACTGTTATGATTCAATTCCATGGAAAATTTTTTAGAAAAATTAACATTACAATGAATCACATCTAGTTTGTAATAGATAATATTTGAAAGAACAACATTCTCAAAAACAACTATTTCACATTGCTCCCTTTTTAATTTAATGGATCTGACCTTCATTGCCTGTAACCCAAGTCATTTCATTTTTGCTTGATCAGTCAGTTCCTGGTGGCGGATATTTCAGCTAAGCTGAAGATTAAGGTTTTTTGGTGTGAAGCCCCTGCCACACAGAAATTACATCAAGGTTTTAAAAAAAATGAAAAAAACAAAGATAATGCCTTAATTTAATGCTTTGATATAAATGCTTTTCAGTTTGGATTGACCAGCCTGGAGTTCCTTAAATTGGTGTCACATGCCTTTATATTGCTTTGTAACATTTCAGTGCTTATTAGCAATTAAAAATAATTGTTTATTAAATGCCTAGTTCTCAAACAATAACATCAGTTAATCAAAGAAATAATAGATGGAAAAAAATGCTTATAGAATTAGTATATATATAAACACATCTAAAACAATTAGGCTAAGAAATCTAATGCATAGAATTCATATTGATTCTTGGACTCTTTTGATTTCAGATCATTTTAAAATGATAATGATCAATCAAACCAGTCACTTTTTTTTTTTTGCTTGGATAACCAGAAAACTTAATGAGAGTACTCTATATTCTTTAAGTGTTTAAAATATTCAGACTCTCCTCAGTTCCTTACTGTGATGAGAAGTCATACTTCAGTTTCCCTGATAGCCTACAGATGATCTATTTCTACCTTACTGAACTCAAGGGGGTGGAACATTTCTAGCTGTGGTGTATATAGAAACAAAGCAATCTGCACTTCCTGTAGCTAGTTTTATCTGAGGTGGAAAAAAAATATAAAAAATTACACAATGTATTTATTTATCAAAGGTTAATAAAAATCTTTTTTTTTAAATTAAAAAAAATACAAGTTAGTCAGCTGACTGAAGTGGAAATCTGAAGGCTAAATAAATTACCTGGTAAGGGTGAAATGACATACAGCTGGCATTGCCTATTCTCTGTCCCAAAAACCCTTCATGGTATTTTACTGTACTTAGTACAGTACCATTTGGACTGTAAGCTGTCATGCACTGGTTAGTAGAGCCACTGTAATAAAATACAAAAGCTAGATTTCTTTCCAGGTGAGGAAACCAGTCTGCATAGAGGTCAACTTCAATACTTTCTAATGTACAACAGGTTGAAAAATAGGTTGGCTTAAATTTTAAGGATTAATATGCTGGCATAAAAGGATATCTTTTCAATGTAATGTCCATTCAGCCACCAAATATATAACAAAACAAGAAATTGATCCAATTCATACTTTTTCTCAGTGATTATAAGTAGCGCCTTATTTTCAGGAACTCATTTATTTAGCATAGTAGCTACCAATTTCTAGTTTACTGATCCTTTTATTTTATTACATCGAAATGTCAGAATTGTTCATGAGGTAACATTGAATGCTCAGAGACATTCTATAAAATGTTCTGTTTCAGTCCTGTAAACATAAAGTAATATTTACCAAGCTATGATATCTGCTCTTGGGTGGATATCCACTGAAGATAATGATGTTGGAGTACTGTAAACCCTAACCGAGTCTGTAAATCTTGGGTCCCAGAAACGTATATCTCCATCACAGCTTGAAACAAAATAAATTTGATGATTATATGATTTTTTAAGTTAACCCTTTGAACCCTTAGCTCCTGGTCCTAAAATACCCATGCCCCTGGGTTTCTGGGGAAAATTCTCACAAACTGACATACATCATCAAACTAAATTGAATGATTATACAATTAAATACATTTTATTTATTTCAATCTAAATTTGTATATTAGTAGTCCGTAAGTATTATAAAATGTATCCAAGGAAGACAAATATCTTAGAAATGGTGTAAAATAAAATAGCATAGTAAAAAATCATTTATGCGATCCTGATTTTTCATAAAAGCCAGGGCGAGGTGAGACCAGGTATAGACCTTGTGTTCTTTCTTTTATTCTTAAAGCACACATCAGCAGCACAAGTAGATGACGTCAATCCCTATCATTGTCTATTTGCTTTATTTCAAATCCTTTTTCAAAATACAATGATAATCCTTTGAATCATTTACATTATCATAAATCTGCTCTGGTTTGAGTCCTTAAGAATACAATTTTTTTTTTCATTTTTGTCACCTTTACACATAAAAAAACATAACAAAACCAAAGCTTCCATGGCCGTAGCCACAACTGTGACCTTTGGCGAGTCACGTGGTAACTGAACTCAGTATTTACCACACAATTTTATATACAGACTGTCGATCAAGGGTAAGGTATGGGGGACTGAAATATCAGTCTGGTGGGGTGTGCATTTTTAATGCATAGACTGATCGAGCGGGTTCAAAGGGTTAAAGCAGAGGTATAACTGATAGGAGCACTCTTTATTAAGAAAGACATAAGCCTCAATTGACATTAGTCAAATGTAACCATTAAGTACACTACTGTTTGTTGAATAATATTTGTTTGAATTTATATTAACTGGGAAAAGAGTGTAAATAATAAATGTGAAGGATGTTGGGATTTGGGTGGTATAAAACAAATTAAAATTTCTTTCCCTTCACAATAAATATGTCTTGTTAAATAGATTTTGAGAGACTACTAAAAAGAATTAGCCCTGAACTACCAATAATAATAAATGTCAGGGGAAAAGATGCTGTCAGATAGATGTTGAGGTTCGATTTCAATGCAGTTTGTGTTTTACCCATTAACCTTTGGCTGTCCTAATCCCAAAGTAGCGAGTTGGAGAGATGGGGTGAGTTCAAAACAGGATTTGAGCACATCTTGTGTATCAGCCAACGTAAATACTTTGCACTTATAATCATTCTAATGGCATTAAGGAAGTCTGTCTAATTTACACATACCATGCACTGACGATTTTTCCTTCAGAACCTCTTTGCAAATGAACTTTAAGTACCCAGGAGTTGTGTTCTCTTAATGTCATAACACGGCTAAAAGATTTGAAAAGCATATGTAAAAGGATACCAAAAAAAAAATAATTTCAAAACATATTGTAACCATTTTTTTTTTATAATTCAGGATTAGTCTTAAAGTAATTGACCAATTGAACATTAGATTTTTTAAAGACACTACTCTTTTTTTATTTGCATTTACAAATATCTAAGTTTTTACAGTAGTTATTATTATTGTCAACCGATTGATTATTGTTAAATGAGCTTCTAACTTTCAGTTTAAAATAAAAAGATACTAAATTTTGTAAGAACAACAATAGTGAATACTTATAAGAATATAAAAAAAAAAAAAAATTTAAGAACATAAAACATAAAAAAATAAATAGGGACCCACCACTCTGCAGGGTTTAGCCGACGGTCAAACAGCCTGACTGAACCATCCCCACAACCTGCTATAAGTAAGGATTTCCCTAAAGGATCTGAAGCAAGACTGGTGACACAGCTTTCTGCCCCAGTGCTGATGTCCTGAAAGTCAATTTATTTAAATAATTTGCAATTATTGATGTAACAAATATTTGAGAATAATTTAAGATTTTGTCTATGTTTTGCTTCAACAATATACATGATATCTTTCAGCTGCAAATAATGACAAGGCAGAATCAATAACAATTAATTTATTGTAAACAGCAAAATAACTTTGTACCATGGTGAAAATTCTGACAAGAAACATCATCTTACACTTATTTTTGTCTCTCGTTGCATGTCCCACAGTCTGATAATTCTTGCATTCCCAGAAGTTATGAGAGTGGTTGTTTCTTGTTCCCATTCTGTAACTAAACCAGAGCCTGTGGAATACAGAACTTGTATTTTATAAATATGTATATACATATAACTTTCTTGTTATTAGTCTGTGTAGCTCCTAATGGGTCATTGGCTATTTACAAATGATTATTTTTCAACCTGGATCTGTTTGTTCTGCTCTGCATTACCCAGATTTTTAAGAAATCTTCACATCGACTACCATTTTATGTTTCCCTGTGTGCTTGGTTGGAGAGACTGCCTTTAGGCTATGATTGAAGTTACCCAAGGTTCACCAAAATTTATAGTATTCATACATTTAAAAATAATAAATAAATATATGTTCCTTGATGGGATTATTTTTAAAAAAAAAAAACAACAGACACAAAAACCACCTATCAGCATTTAAAACAGTTAGTGTCTGTGCCCCTGTGAAATTTATGTGTTGTGTCATATCTATGTGGTCATAAAAAAAAAAAGCAATAGGCACATATCTAAGAAGCTCCTGGTGAATCTACTATGTAAATACGCAAAATATATATATATATATCTATATATTCAAATGAAACCTATATTACATAAAAGCGGATTTCAAAATCTAAAAAAAAAAAGGCACCAGTTTAACACAAGAGAATTAAATTAACATCATTAATCAATATATCCCCTAATAGAGATTTCCTCCCTAGAATGGAAATTCTCTCAAGATAATTATGTAGTGTAAGTCCCGATTGAGTCTCATTGGCTTACATCTCTTTCAAACCTCAAAAGATAATTCAACCAATTTTAAACAAAGATGTGACAGAACATAAATAGGGACCCCACCACTCACAACATCTTATGTTTGCGTAACAGTTTTTGTCTCACCTCTTTCAGAAGGGACAATTTCTGATAAACCTTTAAATGCTGTGACCAGTTCTCTGTCAGACTCATTAGGCGAAAGGAAATTTCTGTGGATTCTGATAGCACCATCATCTGGGGAGTGATATCAGTTTACAGATTTTACACAAAAAAATCAGCCACATAATGGACGAGACAACAGAGACACAGTGAGAAAGTATTCATTTATAACGAAGGACCATCTAAAGCACTTACAAAAGAAATTTAATTTATAACTGATACTAAAATGTGTATACCAGCTGTTACGGTGTATGAATGCTGCTAACTCGTACCTGTACAAAACATAAACAGAGCTTGATCGTGGGAGTTCATGAAATCTATTGAAGTAATGCGACTGACTCGAAGTAAAGGTGTCAAAGCACGTTCTAAAACTGCAGGATTCGGAATATCTGAGACTTTCGTTCCCTGCTCAAGATCCCAAAATCTGAAAATAATTTTTTTTTTTTTTTTTTAATTAATACTTTTTCATAAATGAACAAGAGGAAAGTGACATATACAGTGAGATGTGGTGATTCAAGCCAGGTGATTGGAAGAGGGCAACCATTGTAGGTCAGTATGAATTAAAAAAATAATGTTAAGGTGGTGGTGGTTGGGGGGGGGGGGGGGTTAAAAAAAGACCAAAAAAAGGCGTTAAATTATATGTACCTAATGGAGATACAAATGTTGTAGAATACGTTGATTGATAGATCAATGTCTGCTTTCATCATCTCAGCAGGTCTCCCATCCGGTCAGGCAGCTTGTTCATTAATTTTGGAATTTTTATTTCCCTTAGTAGATCTGGTTCAGTCAATGTCAAGATCTCTCTGGGTTGTCTGAATATCTGCTGTATCAAGGGGAGCTGGCCTGTTTAAAAGCTCCTTGAAATATTCCACCCATCATGTTTCCTGCCCCTTAGGATTTGTTGACATTTTACTGTTTTTTATCTTTGATCTGGTTATACTGTTGTTATAACTTTCCTGTTAATTTCTTTGCTGTGTTGTGAAAGTTTTGAGTGCTTTCAGTATTGTAAAAATCTTTAGTGCTTCCTTTTCATGCTGCTGTTTCTGAGGCTCGGATTCAGCTGTTCATCAGGATGGCTTTCCTATCTTTTTGATGTTGGATTAGGTTGACTATGGTCTCTGATATAAATGGTTTGCTTTTACATGTTTTAAACACTAAGACTTAATCACATGTTGAATTCCATGTATTCTTAATTGTATCTCATTGTGAGTCTATGTCGTCCACATTCTTCCAAATTTTCTAAGGCCTTGAATCTATTTGCAAGCTCATTTCTGAACACATTATTTTTATTTTTTTCATCTAGAAATGCCATGTTGTATTTGGTTCTTCAATCCTGACATGGTCTTTGTTTTTTTTTTTTAGAATTACATCTGCACTTATATATACTCTTACATCTCATAGCTATTGCCTGAATTTCTTCTTGATACAAACATGGTCAATCTGATTGTGTGTAAGATGATCGGGAGCCATCCATGCTGCCTTGTGGATATTCTATCAGCACAAAAATCAGTAAATATTTCTGCAGTCTCATTTTTTGTTTGTTTCTTCCTAGGTCATGTCTCCTCATAATCTCCTCATATAGAGTATTATCCTTCCCTATTTTAGTATTGAAGTCTCTTATCATTGACGTCATATCATCGTCTCTAATTTTATCTATCACTAACTGTAATCTAGCATAGAAATCATTCTTTATCTCTTCTTCGTCATTAGTAGGAGCATAGCACTGAACTGCATTGAATTTAAATTCCTTCTTGAATGTTCTATAGGTTTGCAGTTATTATCCTTCACTTTTCAGGTTGCTAACCTACAAAGGAATGTTCTGCCTGTGGAGAAAGTAGTCTAGCCAAACCCTCTGTGTGTTGAGCATTTTTATCTTCATATCCTGAATATAAAGTAGTATTTCCTGTTGTCAATTTCATTCTTCCTGATTGAGTCCATCTTGCTTCACTGACCCCTTATGCTGTTCTTTCTCATCTCTGCTGCCACCCGGCACCTGATAAACTTTTCCCCATCTCATGCCTTGTGCGTAGATTCCAGGTCCCCACCTGGGTGATTTTCCTCATCCAAAAGGAGGTAGTCTGCAGATCAGCTCCCGTTCATGTTCGACTAGGTCACTTCATAATCCCTTTCCGGGGCCTCCGTTCTCCCATAATGGTGGGTTAGAGTTTGAATTGAATGATTTAGTGGCAGTAATTTTTTTTTATCTGGTGAGTCGCCATTCCAATGCGGAAACCACACAAACAAGCATGTAGGCTGTGAGCCTGTTAGCCTATCCCTCTTGCCAGAATTCCGCTCCACTATGTGAAGGCAAGTTCTTGTAACAGTACAGTATTTATTTAACGAAAATAATTCAGGTGTGTTAGAAGTCTTTTGAAACATGAAATAATTTCTAATTTAGTTTTCATTGAATTATAAAACACTTACGATACATTATGACTGTCAGCTACAGCAAGAAAATTTTCATATGGATGAAACTTGATGGCAGTTGGTACAGCATTTACCCTGTTGACAAACATCTGGTCATCCAGCCTTGTCACACCTTATGAATTAAGTTTGTGAATTAAAAATAATGTAGCAATAATTATCCATACCTAGAAGGATCTTCTTACAGTGATTCATTTGAAAAAGACATAGCTTTATGACAAAACATTTTCATTGTTCTGAGTGCATAATACAAAAATGAAAAAAAATCACTGTTCATAGAATGTTGTCAAAAGTTTTTAATAACTGTTCAGAAGAAAGCTTCTTGCTTCATTTTTAAGAAAAAAATAAATAAATAATATTTAAATACCTGCTCGAAGTTGTTCCCTGCCAAGAGATCTGACTCTAGCATTCCTCAGGAACCTGTACTCCCTTTCATGATATGACTGACATTCTGGGTCTTGGTCTTTCCTAAGACACATAAATGGCTCTGCAAAATACTTGCAGCTCCACTCAAAAAATTGTGTGCTCACTTTCTCAGAAATAGGTGAATTGTCTTCTTCTTTACCTTCTTCAGTCTGAAGAAAGCCAATAAAAAATCAGGTCCATTCATAAATTGTTATACTTGATGGTAATTAAAAAGAAAATTTGTAAAGCTTTCTTGAATAACACAGTTTTTTTTAAAATAAATACTTTATAATTGTGTCTTATTTGTTCTTAATAAAATAATAATTCTATTTGCTTTTTTTGGTTTTAAAGTCTTTTACTCTCAATAATTATTTCAAATAACTTTGTTATCTTAAAATTAAAAATTATTATTATAGACAAACCTGCACCACAGAAGGTGTCTTGTCAAATACTTTTCTAGGTGGTTGACCTATGGAATACTGAGTGCTGCCAGGACTAACCATGTTTTGTGGGGGAGTGCTGCCAAAGTAAAAAATGTATACATTTTAATGTAATGTCTAATTGAATTAAAATATTTTTTCATTGTAATATAATCTCTAAATATGTGTTCCCAATTCAGGAGTGTTCATTATATAAATTATAATTTCTTCTATATGCTTTAGAAGTATTAACCTCAATATTTTTTTGCGTCTAAAATATAAAATTTCCTGATGTATAAACATCATCTCATTGATCTCTTAAATATTTTCAAAATTTAAGACCCATGAGAAAAAACAAATATTTAGACCAAAATACTGTTTTGGTACAAAAACAGGTCCACAAATAAGACCATCATAAAATGTTCCTGTAAAAAAAAATAAATAACAGCCAGTGGAACATTTTCAACACCATTGTCTAGAGACTTTTAAATTGAGTAAGAAACGTCTGTCTGTAAAATTTCATTTTTAAATTAAATTTTAAATATCACAAACATGTACAACATCACCATCAGTGGCCATCTCTTTTCCTTGGTTCCACAAACAGAACTTTTTCCCATTCAGAAATATTAATGAAGTTTGTCAATAGAAAATATTTAGCAAAAAATTTAACTTTTTTTTTCTTTAGTAAGGTACCAACTTTCTTCGCTAAACTTAGAAATATTTAGAAGAAAAAAATCAGAGCCATTTGATAAAATTCTACAGTCTAAACATACCCTCATGTTAGAAAAAATGACTTAACGAAAATGTGAAAATACCAACCCAAAAGGCATATTGGCGGGTCTGGATGGACTGGATGCCATAGAATGGTTATTTTGGGATACAACTGCTTGGATTACTTGTCGGGGACGTGCCGATGTCGATGCCTATGTTTTTTTAGGAAATCAAAAGAAACACTTTCAATAAATCGAAAGGATTACCCCTTAGAAAAATTATTGGAACACATTTTAAGTTGAAACATTTAAATATTATAAAATTGACAAAAGAACTATTTTTTAAGTGTACATTTTAAATTTCAATTTAAAATGTATTTAAATTTGATAAACTTTTAACAACTATTAGATAAATTATTACATATTAATATCTCCAGAACTTTCAATGATATAAAAGCTGATCCCTGTCTGCATGCTATAATCACAAACCTTCCTCTTGACTGCATCAATAATATTTCTGGACATAGAAGCCACTTCAGGATGCGGGTCTGCGGCAAGTTCATTGAGTGCTTGCCACATAGAGGAGTACACCGTCACAAAAGTGTGCCCTGCAAGAGAGGCCCCTGAAGAAACGCGACGTATCATAAGCCGTTCATCTCCCAAATTGTCAGAACTTGCTGAAGTGGCCATAGTGGAGAGCTGGTGACTTGAAGCAGCTAGTGATTTGTAAGTTGTATTTCCAAAAGTTGGGAGGGGAACAAAAAAAAACTGTTAGTATTGTTATAAAAGCAGAGTACTAATGAAAATATTTGCACTAAGAAAAAGAAAGTACATTGAGATGGCTAAATAGTTGTTAGCTTACATCAAATTCTGATTAGACCCAAGGCATGAGGTTAATCAGGGAAGTGAAAAAAAAATAATTCAATTTTCATGCGAGTACAATTAAACCAAAAATATTGGTGATTTTAAAAAAAAGATTAATTGTTTCAGCTCTGCCCTTTCAAGTAGACTAGAAACATCAGATCTCATTGAGTCTATGTTAATAATAAAAACTATTTAAAAATAAGTTTGACTAAAAACATATTCCATTTACATATTTGACTACTTGTTTTATTTATAATTTATTTCTTTTCTTTTTATTGAAACTTAATGAACTGATGGAATAAATTTAATAATAATGTAAATAAGTGGGTTTTTTTCTCAAGCAATTAAAATATTTAGAATGTAAAACTAATTATGACAATTTATCAGTGTCCACCAGAGACTTCAGATGAGCATAGCAGCCTAGTGGTTGGGAAGCTCAGAAGAGCAATATCTAAATCAAGTTACCTTCTGGCATATTTTTTAAGATACAGAGAAAGCTTTCATTAATAAGATTCTTATTAAGGCTAAAAGGCTATTAAATTATGTTAATTCATAATTGTTAAACAATCATCTTTCCTACACCAGTTAAATTTAGATATCATATATACATATACATGCAAATGAGAAACAATAATTAATTCCTGCTCAGAAATAAAGACAGAATAGGCTGAATGCTCTATTCTAAGTTCTAATACTTAAGATTATTAGGAAGGTCAGACATTCAGTTCGTAGTCAAATAAAGATTTTCTTAAAGATTTACACACAGAAGAAACAAATCATTCCTTTAAAAAAAAAACATGGTTGAATTATGCTAAGTAATCACAATTTTAAAATATGATGTATGATATATATTTATCAATTTCCTATAAAAAATGTTTTTAAAATAATAATACAAATTTACTTAATTATTAATTTATTCTAATTTAATTCAGTAATTTACTTCAATAATGTTATGTTATACTTAGTAACCTTAATTGGATTTTGTCAAAATATTAATATGGGTATAAACATAACTTTAAAAATGCAAAATCATTAGCCTCTTTTTACATTTCAAAAAATCATAGAAGATAATTGCCAAAAAACTGCTCACAACCATTTAAAACTAAAAGTAAAAAAAAAAATTATAAAATTTAATTTTATAATTTCAAAAGATTTATTTACTATTAAAATGCCTCGAGTATTAAAAAAAACATTATGTTCAATCTGTTTCCTTATTATCTTTAATGAATAAAGATTACAGGCACAAAAATTTTGTTCAAAGCCTGAGAAATAGATGTTTTAAAGATGTTAAATTGTAATGGGAAAACAAAAGCATGCAGATGAACAGAGAGTTTGCACAACACCTAGCTCACCACGAAACATGCCATATCTGTCAGCTGAGAAGTTTTAATATGGGGAATCAAGGGGTGGATTGTACAGATCAGATGAATATTTGCTCTATAAATGCAGTATTAAATAAAACTTTTCAAATTTAAGTTGCTGAATGTTTTTAATGGCATCCTAAAGATAGTTTATAGGTAACCTTTCTGAACAAGGATAACAGAAATAAACAGTAACCATATTCCAAGTGAAGATGATTCAAATTTGTTGAAATATTTAAATTACTCTGATGAAAATGTGCATACTCTCTTGAAGTAGTGGAATAGCAAACAAAATTAATGTTGTTAAAATGAACTTAACAGTTAAAAATTTCAGTAATTTAGAGATAATTTTTAAAAAATTATACAAGACTCTGAGTAGCTGCGAATCCCTGCACTTCTTTTGATATGGGCTGTAGAAATGAGCATGGGTGGAGACATTTGATAACAAGAGGGCATGGTAGGAGTGATGGGTAATAATGATGGTGAGAGTAAGCATAAAAGTGTGGTTGTCTGCACAGCAGTGGTTCTGAACTTTAAGTGACTTGACATATTCAGTTTAAGCGGCATGTTAAAATGGGTTCAGCATTTGATAAGTTACATAGTGTAGAACTGTGCACATAATAAATCTGATGTCATCGCAGGGTAGATCTGAATTATGCTTGTGATGGATAAACCATATGGCTATCAGGGGAGATTCTCAAAATAGAATATTTTAGAACCACGATTAGCTTTTATTCAGACACAAGAAACCAAAAGATGTATTTTTTTTAGAGAGCAAGAATGCAAGCGAAAACCTAGCACTGCAAACCAAAGTTGTGCTTTTTTTTTAAGCACCCTCAAATAATGCTTTAGAGAACTTCCAGAGAAATAACATTACTGACAATGTTACAACAAATAATGGACAGCGTAGGCTTACAAGTGGTCAAACTTTTAAAGCTGCCGCGTGAGTGACTCCGTTTCATCCCACCACTTGCAAAACTGTCTGAAAAAGGGAAATATCAAAACTAGGGGAGAACAACACTTGAGTATGAAATTAAATATCCTCTTTTAATGCACAATAAAAATATTTCCTGGTCAACACACTATAGTAAGTGTGACTTCGTTTTAAAAAAAAAATAGAAGCAGACTTCAGATTGAAAAGAAATGATACACTAGTGATGTTATGGAATTATTATTTAATATATATTAATGTAATATTTATTGTGCTGTGTAAACCGATTCCTTATTCAAATGCAATTTTTTTGATTGCATTTTTATTTTTTTAATTCCTACTGGGAGAAAGCACATTTATAAAAAATATTTTTGCATCAAAATTACTGTCAACTTTGTGGTATGATGCAACTGTCAGAGAGCTGGTGATTTTAGTCTTCACAATAGCTACACTTGTTAGTCACAATATGTTACAACAGATTCTTAAGCTGAAGTTGATCAATAAATAGTGGAACAAGATATGATTACGCTTGACAAGACTATTGCAAGAAGTTAATGACTATGCTCAAACGTAATTAGATTTTCACAGTTACAAAGTGTAGCTGATTTAACTTGATAAAAGACACTTCATGCTGCTGGTTACAAACAATTATGTGTAATGCATAACCTTTATAACCCAAGGAGAAATAAAATTTAAAAATATACTTTTCCAAACATTAGTTATTTTACACCTGTCCCCAAAAATGCATGCAATGGCAAATATGTGAGATATGATGGCATTAATTTTTTAATCTAAAAAAAGCTGATTTAAAAATCATAAAACTCACACCCTCAGACTGATGTACGGTATGTTGAAAACAGGAAAACAAGGTAACGGTGGTAAGTTTTTAATAATTTTTTTTAGACCATATCTGATCAAATAAAATGTACTCATTTTTGTTTTGAATAGTGCATCAGTTTGAGTGTGTCATCAAACCTGGCATAAATTAAACATATATCTTTAGAATTTAAAATGAAGGTTTTTCTGGTTCTATAAAAAAATTTTTTTTTAAAGAAATAGTTGCCAGTGTTTGACTTGTTAATATTAATACTTATAGCAGAGTTATTTTTTTCCCTTTCCATTTCTGCAGATTTTCTCTGACTATTTATTGATGGAAGATGAAGGTAAAAGGAAAATTTTAATTTTATTAAAGTGAATAGGTGAGAATACAGTGCAAAATTTTGTAACACAAAATTTCCTAACCTTTCCTTAAATTTCTTACAACTACCGCCCTTTATGCTTCTCCACCCCTCCCTCTACTTCTGATGATATCTTCCCTTCAAGCATTTCATTATATACTAATGATGATAAAAGAATACTAAAAAAAAAGTTAGTTGTCATGAACTGAGCAATATTTTCCTTCAAATAATAATTTAGTATCACTCTGAGTTTTCAAATATGCATCTTGAATTTGGATTAGTATGGGTTTAAGCTGAATAAAACCCACCTCTAAAAAACCATTGACCACTTCTATTTGTTGATATCCATGTTAAAGGTGATTCCCACTAAATCTTTTATGCTACGATTTATCACCCAAACCCATTGTTTTACTAACTTTCTTCAGCTGATTATAGTGAAGGGATAAACACATTTTTATTGGTCCTTTATTTTCTGATTGGGAATTCACCCTTCTGACCCTCCCCAACCAAAACTTTGATACCAGACTCCCCATACAGCATCCCCATACAGCAAGCACTACCATCATATAATTTGGAAACCACTGATGTAGCTCAAACAAACTTTTCCCCAAATCCTTTTATGATTCAAAAGTTTTAGAATGAATAAATCAATGATAGCCTTCCCAGCTCTCCAAACACAGGATACCAGATCAGCAGTTCTGACAAAATACATTCAATTAAGTCCCTAAATCTGAAACTAGAAAGCCTTTATTTATTATAAAATGTTTACCTCAAAAGTTGCCAATCATGTGTTTAATAATAAACCAGAGGAATCTCACGAGGATACGATATATATCACAACCAAACTAGTGGAAATTTAAAATAATTTAGATAGTTTGAAGTATTTTTTACCTCATTTATGAGAAAATGATTCAAAATTTTACAGTCATTGTTAAGAGCAGCTTATTGAGCTTTGTCTAGAGGGATGGACACTAACATTAATTTTCTACAGTTTGTACACTGATGAAGGCTATTAAAAGGAAAAAATATTACTAAAAGTAACGATGTAATTTCGATTGATTTAAAAAAAAAAAATTCATGATAGACACAAGTGGAATTTTGAGATTTGGTTTGTCAGGGTAGAATTTGAAAAAATATTTTTGAAATTAAAATGTTCTCTGTTCTCAATTTTGTTATTCTTCTTTGAAATAGTATAAAATGGGAAAGAGTAAAATATTTATATTTTTTTTTAAATTAGTATATTATGAGTAACTGTAAATATATTTTTATTTGTTCACATGCATACTAGGTAAAGTAATCATTAAAATGAAGTCATAATAAGGGCATACCAATATGCGAAGGGAACTGTGCTGGATTATGTGTGCAAAATTAAGTCAGTGGATATGTCAAAAAGCGGATTTCAGCAAAACCACATTGCACAGAGCTTTTGTCACCAAATAAAGATAATTTAAATTATAATTTAACTTTGTATACTTCTTACTAACTTCAAGTTTTTTTTTAAAATAAATAAAATGAAATAAGACTCTCATCCAATTATGTTTTCAACAAAAAAGTTTCAACTAGATACTAGTCACCTCACATATTTGTTCTGTAAATTATCTTAATATTACATTAATATAAAGTAACTCTATTCACATATTTGTTCAGATTGTCAGTCTTTTAAATACTTTTCATATAGATCTGTATTTCAAGTTTTAAAACATCGGTCATTAAAACTTATTTCTTACCTAAAGGTCTTGGTGTTTCCTTATTAGCGTACATACTCGCTATGTCAAGAGATTTGACCATCCTATCATTTTCCTCCTCTTGTATCTTCTTGACTAGGCCCACAAAGTGGGAAATATAAACTGACACATACCCACCAAAGGCCACAACGAGCTCCTGAAATCAATAAAAAATCTCAGACTAGCCCAATCCAATTACAGAATTTGAGTTGATAATTTCAGAAATTTTAATATTTTTTTCATTTGGTCAAAAAAGATAATGAGATAAATATAGCATTTTTCAATAATAAAATTGTTACCTATGGCTTAATTGGGTGAGACAGGTCAGCGGCTTTTATATAGATGTACTGAACACTTTCACAATATTGCTCAAGCAAAACAATTTCATATCTCAAATCACTTCAATAGTAGCAACCACAAAAGCACCAATGACCTTTCTATTATCGTCATTGTTTTCTCTAAGAACATGCCCGCCAGGGTGAACTTAGAGGAAAAACTTATCCACACAAATGGGACCTTGACACCACATAGCATTAATGTCATGTTTTCCTTCATTCGTTAGATCTTTTCTCCTCCCCCCTACTTTCTACACCTAGTCACCATTGTAATTCCCTTTATCTAAATTAAGTATCTTTCCTACTTAAAGTTTATTAAATTCCTATGTTGTTTTCTGGGCTACAACATTTCAGCTAAGTTTTTAGTTTGTTACTCTTTGTTTGTACTTTTGACTGAAGAACCCATCTTGCCACCCCGTTCGTTGTTTAGTTGCAACCTTTTGTCAGGTTTTCCCTATCTTGTTTAAAAAAATTTCTTTTACCTAACCTGATTGCAGTCTCCTCCCTTATTATCATATTTTAATGCCGCAATAACAGAGACTTTTTCAATTTCTATCTAAAAAAGAGCATTAATATTGCAAATGAGGGTTCCATATTTTTAAAAAAAATCATATGAAAGATTTTTGCGTACTCTAAAGAACAGTGATAAGTGCAGATATCTATTATTTACATGATTTTTATCATAAATATATCACAATAAAATGGATTACTAGATAGTAAGATAATGGGGGGGGGGGAGGAACAACATTTACATTTGATTAACGTATTTTGTTCAAGCAATGAATTATTAAATGAAACTTGAATCCAGTAATTTTCTTATTTTAAAAAAAAACACTTTCATCTTAACCTTTCTGACCAGTGGGCTACCATCTGTGATACATGTAACAAGAAGATTTCCAACATTCACATCCACTGCTATCGAATGATCAGTACGATCAAGAGATCTTGACACAAATGTTCCAAGGGCAAAAACAGTTGCCGCCCTTACCTATTCAAAAAAATATTTACAAAGAAATTAATTCTTCATTCTTCACCTTTGAAATTTAAAAATAAAAATTTGGACCAAGCTGATCATTCAAAAGTGATTATTTTAAGTATGATAACTAATGCGATGAATTATAAAAAAATATTGCACATAATAAATAGCTTCAATGTGATACATAATATTAAATAAAGATGGAGCAGTTAAGCTTAAAATATTTTTACAGTCCGGATAGAAATGTTAAAAAAAATGAATGCTAAATAAATGTGATAGAATAATTTAATTGTACATTGCTATAAAAGATGATTGAACAAACCTCAGGCTCAGGGTCAGACAGAAGCTTGGATAGCTTTTCATGAGCACGGTCACGTACACCACACCATCGAGCATTGTCAAAGTTGGTCCAAACCTGAAAGAGGTAATAAATAAAACAGCTACTAGGAACAAGCATTAACAACTCCATATACTACAGGATAAAAGATATGTACAGCTAATCTATACTAAGCTACCTATCTGTTTAATTTGATCTGCTTTAAGTTTTTATAATAATAATTAAACAATTTATTTAGCTTAAATCCATTTATAAGTGCAATAGCCATTGTTTTGTTCAAAAATAGGTGAGATAGGTAAGGTGGTGCAGTACCACAAATATTTTAGAAGTGTAGTTAAAAGTGAGCCCTTCTCACATATATGTTGAGAAATAGGGCCTTTTATTTATGGCATTTATCTAAACGCCCTCAGTAAAAGTATAAGTAATTTTTCCTTTATTCTTTTCAAGCCACATTTTACCATTCCCTTCTATTAAACCAAACTATTTTTGCATCCCTTACTTCACTATTCTTTATCTCATACCAGTCCTTACCGTTTTTTTCCTTAGAATCTAGTCTAAAAGCAAGTACTATAGTTATCTAATGCAGTTGTGTATTAAATAATAAGCTTTTCAAAAATGGTTAATTTCATTATATTATATACAGAGTGCTCAACATTCATGCCCTTGATAACAAAAGAGTAACTGTCTATTGCATTAAGGAAACGTGTACTTGACGCATGGCTATTTCCTTTAATAGTGGGTACCATTTGATTACCTTTGCCAAGCAAAGCGCTAACCACTGCCTAAGGTGGGCATTCGGATCTACCAGCTGTTCAAGACAAGTTGATATGGTATTGTCTTTCAGTGCTGCTTCCTATGATAAGGATATAAAATATTTAATGATAAAGAACATTGCAGAAGACATTGCAGTAGATCTTCACAGAGCTGATGGCATAATAATGAAGGAGACGAACTCTTAGATTCATTGGTTAAAATTTTTAAAAGATTTCTTTGTAATAAAAGATGAAACCTAAAGAAATTACAAACAATTTTTTTTTTTAATATTAAGAAATTTCTACAAAAAGTCTGGTAAATAAGATTAAATATGGATCTTGTTACAAGAGAAGTATAAAAAAATTCCTGAATTTTTTAATCATAGAAAAGGTTATCTTTTTATACTCACCCTGCCTTGTGCATAGCTGTTCATGATAATTGCCATGACAAATGCTGCCATTGTCCTATGCTCAGCCTGAAAATGAATTATTGGCCTATATATAAAGTATATGAAATATTTATTTTAAAATAATATTTTAAATTTTTAATTGATATATGTAGTTGTCATTTTAATTTGTACACAAAAAAAATCAAGGTAAAAATATTTTTAAATAGCAAGTTACAATCTTATAAAAATGTACTGGTATTTATTCTTAATTAGTTGAGATTATTTTGGAAAAAACAGTTTAATAATAATATATTCATATAGAAAATAAAAAGGCATTCTTACTGCCATTGATGTTTCTGAAAGAACACCCAAAAAGTATTTGTGGCCACTATCTTTGACCAAATCTGTCTGACAAGACTGAAAAAAAAAGTGTATTAATTAAAAAAATATAGCATATAAAAATCAGTTGGATGAATACTAAAACCTACTCAACAAGTTGTCTCATCCTCTTAAAAACACTTTACAAACATGTAAATTTAGGCTGAGACTTATTAAATTTTCTATGAATTATCAATCAAGGTAATTAGAAAATTTATGACTGAACTAAGATGATATATATTTATTTCCCCTTTTGAAAAATAAGAAATTCTTACTGGGTCAACAGCAAGGATCTTAGCCCAAATAAACACTAAAAGAGGTCTCAATTCTTTGGCTGAACTTTGTAGCAGTTTTAAGACATAAGGAAAAATGCCAACGGATAAAGCCTGTGGATAAGAGATGTTAAAGAGATATTAACATATCAAGTGTAATTAGTTTTTCAATTCACACTTAAGTGATTCTGAATCTAATTAAACTGGTGCAACTTTTCCCACCTTTATTTCATCTATTTAATTAAACATACAGTGTAATACATTTTTTTGTACAAGGACATCATAAGGTTTAATAAAAATACATACATCTGTCAGTGGTATTATAAAAATACACATACCAGGTTAACTGCCCAAGGACCGAGATCGAGAAATTTGCCCAGCAAATCTAATGCTCGAACTCTATGAACTTGACTAAGTAAAACCTTTAAAAAAATTCATACAGAAAGATTTGAAAAAAATATATTCAAATTAAAATTTTAAAATGCTAATTACGCATGTTTATTTCTATGCTACATTGTTAAAAATGCCCTTAAATTATTACTTATAGGTAAATTGTTAGGAATAATTTTGTGTTTTCCCACTCTCAAACTTTTATTTTAAAGCTTTATTTTTTAAAAATTCCTAGAAATGTGTTGGTTGATCTTTTTTTTTCTCTATTTGTAGAATATAAAACTAAGTTAAATCCAATTACAACCAACTAACTTCTATAAGACTGTGAAAATTATATTTTTAAAAGATATTTTCAGGGTAATATAAAGAAGCTTAAATTGAACGATGAAAAGACCGAGCTGATCCCCTTTGCAACCGCTGAAAAGCTAAAATATATAAATAACACACAAACCCTTACTCTCTCAGGTATACAGATTAAGAATGCGCAAACAGTGCGAAACCTGGGTGTCTACTTAGACTGAACACTAACTAGGGAAAATCACATTAACATGCTTTGCAAGGCGATTTTTCTAGAGCTGCGCAGAATTAGTCATATAAGACCTTTCTTAACGTTAGATGCATCAAAGAGGCTGATGTCTGCATTCGTGTTATCACGCATAGCCTCCTGCAATGCTCTTATGGTGGGTCTTCCAGCTACGCTCCTGGATAATATTCAAAAAGCACAGAATAATGCGGCTCGCATTGTTCTTCGAAAATGCTAATTCGACCATGCTAAAATACTTCTGAGAGAGTTGCATTGGCTGCCGGTCCACGCTCGCATAGAGTACAAAATTGCAACTCTGTGCTACCGCTGCTTGCATGACCTGGCACCGTCCTATCTCAAAGCACTACTGGCGCCTTATGTACCCACTAGACAACTTCGCTCATCTGATACCACGTGTTCGCCTTGAGACTTACAAGGGGCGCACTTTCGCATTTGCTAGCCCAACAATTTGAAACACCCTTCCTGTCGCTCTCAGAAACAGTCAGACACTGGATTCTTTCAAAACTGATTTGAAGACTTATCTATTTTGCAAACACCTGCTGGGGTGATGTTGTCATCTAACTATTATCTTGTGGATGAATATTGGCCTGTTTTGTTTATGGTTGCAAGGTATGAAAGACTTAGAATGGGTAGTTTTTGTAATGTTGCATTTTGTACTTCAATTTGGTATGTACTGTGCTTCGAGCCTTTGGGGATGAACCGTGATGTTCAAATAATTTTATTAATATTTCACACAAAATTTAAGCTATATTATTCCACAAAAAGACTTAAAAAATACATTTAATTGATCACATAACAGTATGAGTACCAATATTCATGTAATTGTTATCAGCTAACCTGTAATACAATTGGTAATTGCTCTGGTGGCCGTCTGGTTTCAGTGCCACAATCTAACCATACTTTGAAAGCAGTCAACTGCTCTGCAAAAAATGGGCTGTGTGCAAAAGTCATGCCGTCAGGGGTCAATGGCTTAGATGTTAACTGCTGAAGGCAAAGGTCTAAAGCTAAATCCCATGCCTGCCTAGAGAGCAAAATAAAGTAATGGAGAGACATTTGTTTTTTCCTTAAAATTCATCACTACCAATTAAGAATGTATCATTCTAATACAAATAAATTATGCCAAAACTGAATGAAAATCATTTTTTTAAAATGAATAACTTCAAAACTTTAAAAAAAAATAAGTTTTGATTATTACCACATTGTATGCTGGTGAGTATATGGTAACTTAGGATTTGAAACAGGAATGCAGTTGTAGGATCTCATGATGCGCTCAGCAAGAAGAAAATTTCTGAACAAACTAGCAACAAGTAAATCTTGTCTGAAAAGTTTCTGAAACAGTTCTGAAAATAGATTATAGAAAAGTTTTATAAATTTCCTCATGTACAACACATGTAGCAATATACTTTTGACAATCAAAACTAATGAAGCACCTAAAAACGACTAACACCTCTATCTTATCAGTGATAAAAAAAACTTATGTTCAAAGATATATTTGTTTCTTTCGACAAAGTTGAGATATGAAAACATTTTTTAAATGTTAATAAAGGGTTGATGATACATCCGATAGACTTTTTTTTAGGGTATATACGAGACTTCATAGCACTAAAAAGTTTTAGATGGCATGCTCAAATAAATTTGGAAAATAATTAATAGAAGTTAAGATCAGATCACTAAGTTTAGAAACGTAATATACATTTAACAGCTGGACAACTCAATTACTTTATTTTCTTTGAATATTTTTATTCTTTTCATATGACTTCTTTTTCTATTAATATTTTGAAATTTATTAAGAAAAAAGTCTAATAATTTATTTTTATAAAGTAAACGGTCAGGACATCTGACTGAATATCCACTGTCAGCAGCTGACAGTAAATTAATAATAAGGGTCCATAAATATTGGATTGCTTTAAAATAAGTGTTGCATTTATTAATGGTTTGCTAGCCCTATTGTTGCTAATGCATCCTAAAGCACAGAAGACGACTACCAACATACACATGACACACAGTCTCACAGAAGCCTTGATTCCATGCAAATAACGTTAAAGCTAAATGATGTAATTATCTAGCCTATTTTAACTTTACATCTAATAACACTGCCAAAATGTTTGCGGCTTTTGTTGTTTATTAATGTCAATAATAACAGGAACCATGCCATGATCGTATAATTTTCAAATTAATATGTGACCTCATCCCTAAATGAATTTAAAAATTTATATTAATTTCCACATAGCTCTAATAAAATTGTTTGATTTGCAAATGAATATAAGAAATAAATTTTGGGAGCGATGTCATTACTGAGTTATATCCAATTTAGTGTTATAGTGGGGTTCCACTGTAGTTTTGGTATGTTAATCAATGTAATCACCTCTTGGCAATGAGTTCCAAGCAATCGTATCTGTAATAGCAGTAAATATCCAATTCAATTCTCCTAACATGGTCCTTCTGTCACTCAGCTGTCCTGGAATTCTTTTTGAAAAACAGATTAAATTTGATTTTTTTAAATATCAAAAGTCAGCAGGAAGTCTCTTTAAAAAAAAAAATAATAAAACCAGTGTAAATATAGATATTTCTTACTAATTTCATTTAGACAAAGTAGTATTTATATTCTATACCAGGGGTGGGAAAACTTTTGTAGCTGTGAGCCAGATTCAAGAGGTAGCAGGGGCATGGGAGCCAAAAATGGTGCATGCGAATTAATATTATTTGCACATGTTTGATATTAATTTTTAAATAATAAATTCCCTACGATTCATAGAAATAACAAGAATAAATAATTTCCTATTGATATTGATTGGACGCCTTATATTCTTTGTATTAATATTTTACACAATAGCAAAAGTAACACAGGAAAATCATGAACAATGAGTATATGGAACAAATAGTACTCAGATTCGTACCCGAATTTTGCAAATAGTAGTCAAAAAAGAAATTGGAATTAGTACCAGGTGAAAATGTATAACACATTGTTCCCTACTTTTATTATTAATATATAAATATATAAAATTTAAATACAAGTAATCATTTTTTTAAAAATTTAAATAATATATAACATAATTATCTTACTTGTCAACCATTTCCATTGTTAACCCAGGCACTAGACTTCTATTTTGTAAAACATACCTGTGATATATAAAACACAATAATGTCAATTACACAACATTAAGTTTCAGATGTAGGACTCCTAATGATAATTCTCAAAATTAATCATTTTTTAAAGTGACTTACCATCTTAATGCAACTTTTAGTGGTGTTGTCAAACAAGAGGTAAAAAGGTCAGCAGGAAGGTCAGGGTTCATTGGCAAATGTTCAGTAGATCCACAGGCTGCAAGAAGAATACTGTTCTTTATACTTGATGGTGCACTTTGATCTGTGTTTATTTGTCCAGAGGTCTGCACAGATATTTTTTAAAAAATGTAACCTACAACATATAAATTATAAATGAAAAACAAAAATAAAAACAAATTATTTCCCAGAATTGTTTCCATGTTAAATAATAGTAAAACTAAAAATTTGATATTACGTCCTTTGAATTTTTTATTTAAAAAGAAAACATTTTGAATGTTAAAACTCTGTTTAAAATTCATAAACATAAATGAAACAAAATTAAGTTGACATAAAAATCAATAATTACAGCAGCTTCTTGTTCCCTCTGGGCAGTGAATGTCTTGAACAGGTCTATGATTATTCCAGCATTAGAACAATCAAACACATAAATTGAAGGGCTTCCCATCCAGATTTGCAAATCATATAATGATAATGGAATGTACTGAGTATAGCTCTTAAAAAGAAGGGAGAAAACCACACATTGTAATATTAGCAAGAACTTCAATGCAAAAAAAATATTAGAAAACAATTTTTTGCTAATCTAAAATAAATTTTTATTAAAAATGTGTACCGTCTAAACCAGGCCTGCACAACATACGGCCCACGGGCCGCTCGCGGCCCAGGCAGCACCCAGTTTGCGGCCTGCGAAGTAATTAAATATTCTTCTTCTTCTTATTTTTTCTAAATAGCTTTCCCCAGCTTAATTTTCTTTCAGCCCGCAGAGATTTTTCATAAGGTATTAAGGCCACCTTACATTTTGAGTGGTGCAGGCCTGGTCCAAATGCATTTACCTTATTAAAAACCCAAATTTCTCCATTTGCTGTGGGCTTTGGAACACCATGGCCTATGTAATGAAACAGCACTCTTTCCTCCTAGCCAGAAATAAAAACATATGGATTATCAAGAATTCAATTGTTTTTGAGTGACAAAATTTTTTTATCATCGTGATTGTACAATTTTCTTTAAATATAAATACAAAATTTAAAAATATTATTATAAGTTCTCAAACCTTCGCATTCCGCCTTAAAGAGACACATAATTTCTTCATTTCTTCGACTGTGGGATCAAGGGATTGCTTATAACGAGCTTTTGGCTGCCATCTTTCATATTGTTTTTGTAAATTTGATCCAATAGATTCTAAAGCTTTTTGAGGACTCATGGTGTGAGGATCTACAAATGTCATAAATTGCAGAAGAAATTTAATTAATAAATTTGTTCAAACATATGAAATATATTTGTCTTTAATTTATTTCATTTTATATTATTCAAATTTCCTGAAATATCAGATGCATGAATTAATTTGTGGTAGAATTTAATTATTTTTGATAGAAGAATAATGTTCATAAATTTTTAAAAATATTTTAATGTAAACATAAAGTTGTCAGCCAATTTCTACCACCTTTCTTTGCAATAGATTTTAGATTTTGTTTGCAATAGTTATTTACACATGTGACATTGTAATATATTAGTCTGGAATGTTTATTACTCCAATCTTTATGATAAGATTATTCTTAAATGTTAAGAATTTCAAAACCAAATAATCTAGCTCTAGTTTTTTCAAAACTTTATATTACATAAGGTTGACAGAGTGACTCTTACCTATCCAACATTCCATTCGAGCACAAGGAGAAATCTTCACTACATCTGGTGGGTCTACCCCAACATTTAGACAAAGCACAAGGGCTACACTGACTGTTTTCATCTGTTGTAGATGGAAAGGAAATTGAATTTTGATTGAGTCAATCAAACATTTAAGAATTTGTATCAAATTGTTAAAATTTTAAATGTTTTAAAACAAAGTTCTGTGGAAATTAATAGCAACTAGTGCGTGATTATCATTTTTAAAAGGCAAACTGAAACAAAGCAAGTATTAAGGTTCAGTGTAGGGCTTGAATATTATATTAGTTAATTAATGAAAGACAATGTGAAATGTTTTAAACAAAGCTATTGGACTTATTGATATGGTTTGCTTATTTTAAATGTAACTTAAAAATATTAAAAAAAGAAGCTCAATAAGGAGTAAGCTTACATACTAACATACCCTTTCTTTCATTCGCCAACATTGTAAGCATAGATTTGACCCCTCTATTTTACCACAATGACGTGGTTGATTGCATGCAACAGTTAGTTGTGAATCTACCAGCTCTCCTTCACTTTCGTCAAAAATTTCTTCATTTTCAGCAACAATAATGTTCTTTGCCGTCATTGTCGGAAACCATTCGTAAACACAATCACAACTCAAATTTTAAAAATACACTGCATTGAAATTAAATATTATAAGTTATTAATATTACCCTACTTATTAGTACCAGATGGCCAGGCTAAGCAACATTTTCTTAAATTAAACCTAGTTTTTAGGATTTTTTTACTAGTCTTTTTATAGCCACTATATACTATTATATAGGTCTTTTTTTAAGTAGGCCTACTAACAAAATACTAACATTTATATTAATATTATGATTTAAAGTAAATTAAAGTAGGCCTTAAGCCTTAAGAAAGTTAAATAGTAGATTCTATAAGTGCCTTTATTTTTTTCATCCTAGTCAAACACTAGGCTAAATAATAGTAATAGTAAAATAAACATACTATATAAATTTAAGACTATTTTAAAAGACTTTCCCAACTAAAAACTGAATTACTTCAACTTCAATTAAATTGTGAATTAGCTATCACAGACAGAGTCAACCATTAATCTGAAAGTATAATAAACTTTAAGATCTGCAGGCTTACTCAACCCGGTAAAGCTATTCTACTGTTATGTTGACACAGGCATGGTCCTCATGATTAACATGACATGATTATTGTTGATGATCATGAATGACATGACACATGATGATCGTGTTGTAGGAAAAGTTGTACGACTATTTAAAAAAAAAAAACATCCAATGCCAATAAAATTGCAAATATTGGATCTATTACATTATTTCATTTATAAAGTTATTTAAAAGCAAGTATAGTGACAGTGCATTGGTTTTTTTTTTTTTTTTTGTTGCTTTGTATTGTATCGCTCCGTTACACTTTTTTTATTAAAAAAAAAAAACATCCAATGCAAATAAAATTGCAAATATTGGATCTATTACATTATTTCATTTATAAAGTTATTTAAAAGCAAGTATAGTGACAGTGCATTGGTTTTTTTTTTTGTTGTTGTTGCTTTGTATTGTATCGCTCCGTTACACTATTTTTAAGTTAACGATATTTAATAAATCCACAGAAATGGGGAAAGACAGAGCATTCTGAATGAAAGTAAACTTTGCCAGTTTGTAAATAAATTGTGAATTTGTTTATGTTACAGTTTTTATCAACAAATAAAAATTTTACAGACAAATATATTTTAAAATTCTTTTTAAAAATTAATTTCTTATTGTACCCAATTATCAACAAAAATATTTTTAAATTTTTTATTTAAAAAAATTATAGTGTTTTAATGAGAAATGAGAAAAGTACCGGGCCAATTTTAGTCAAAACTAAGGGCTTTAACTCTCGTCTTATTTCAAGTTTGTTTTGCTTAATATTTAACTTTCTTGAGTTTAGTTCACCGTACGACTTTCACTCGTAATCATGGCCGAAGCTACTAGTAAGGATGAAAATGCAGGCAAGAAAACACAAACAAGTAAAAATATGACATCGCCGAGACAAGATAATAAAGACTTTGGAATTGATGCGATTGATAGAGCTCTAAATAATTTATATCCTGACCATGACAATCCATCCTCAATTTTATCAAGTCCCGTTTCTAAAATAATGTAAGTGTAAGCTTTCCACTCACTTAAAAATACTTAAAATTAATCTAAAATTATTCTTAAGTTAAGGGTTAAGATTCTAATTTCTTGACATGTGTTTATAAAACTTACATTTTTTTATAACAGTATGTAGGTGTGGCCAGTTAACAAGAGTCGTGCTGGTAGACCATCTATAAATCCACATTAAATTTGTATTAAAAATTAATAATGAAGTGATAATCAAATTATAGTTTTCACAAAAGCCACAGAGATGTTCAAAATAGATCAAGTTTTGTATATGATGCAAATCTAACTTGGTCAACTGCAAGAAAGGCCTTTGTGAATTATTTTATAACTAATATTCCTCCTAAAGTAAAGGGATCAGGTCACAAAAAAAAGTCATACTCATACATTTGTTGATTTTGAAGGAGTCCTCTCTTCCTGATTGAGATCAATGCAAAGGTATGGAGCTTATGACCTATCATTTGAATTTTACCAATCATATTGCATATTCCTGACTCTCCATGGTATTCCTGACACCCATATGACCATGCAGCTGTCATCAATGCTAACTTTGACAGTTTATGTTCAAAAGATGGCAATGGTTTTCACATTCTTAAAGTTCAAAGAATATATGTATTATTATTGACATAAGTTCTCTCACTAAACAGGATAAAATCATAAATGGCATGCATTGAAATCATGCTTAATAAAATTAGCCATTTAAACCTTGTTTCTCTTTTGTGATGCCTCTAGTTTCGAATTTCAATAAATTTCTTTGCTGAAATTTCTTGTGAGATTTTGGGATTTAAATTCCACAATATTTGCATGCATGTCCCTTATCTTAAACACTAATTTTTAAAAGTTTCTTTAATAAGGTGTGAGGCTAATGTACCACTCGATTTCATTAAAGTCTTCTTAAATACTGGTAAAAATGATTATGGTGCTTCACCTCACTCACACTGGCACTATATTACCTATGGTTTCTCAGATCTTCATGGTGATGGAAGGGTACATGAGTAAGTTTGCTTTATAACATATTTTTTCTAACAATTTTTTTAATTTACCATTTTAATTTTCAGTTGCTTTTTTTAATACTGTGACTTAAAAATAAAATATTGTGTTCTTATTCTAGCTTTGAATATAGTTAATTAAAATAGGTTAATAGCTTAATAAGATACATATTTTTTTAAAATGTAAGCTCTTAGTATTCTCTTAGTTTCAGTGGCAGGGGACAGCCAAGTGGTTATGGCTTTGAGCTGACTTTCCGTCTCAAAAAAGAGGAAGATGAAAAAAATCCCCCTTATTGGCCTGTCATGTTGCTTAATGATCTCAGTCTATATGTTTTCAATACAGGTAATAAAAAAAAATAGCTTAAAGCTTAAATGCAAAATTGATTTTCGAACTGGATGAAGAGGCTATCCATAAATAACGTGACACTATTTTGACGGGATACTTCCCCCATTGTAATAAAATTTTTACACCCTCATAAAACGTTATCACCAATTTGTAAATTTGTTAATTAAATGACAACTATTTGAATGGTAAGAGACAGCCAGGATATGATCTACTGTTTGAAATTTATTAATGTGAAAATTATTTTATTCCACCTGTCAAAGCCTACTCACAATAAAGTAGGCTTAAGTCCATTTATCAGTATTTAGGTATTTTTACTTATGTTTTCCTAGTGTGTTTGTAGTAAATTAATTAGAAAAGTAAAACAATATATAATATACTTTTTTTTTAAAACATGCTTTTCCAAATAAGTGTAAAATAAATGTCTCCTAAATTTCCAGGGTTGTTATAGTCATATGACTAAAAAAGGTGGCATGCCAATGAAATACATCCATCCATCCCTGTGGCGCTACAGCCCATGTAGGGCTTTGGCCTGCCTCACTACTTCCTTCCACTCAGACCTAACTAATGCCTTTCTTTTCCATACTTGGACTTTCAGCTGCTGTAGATCTTTTTCTACATCATCTATCCACCTAAGCCTAGGTCTGCCTTTGAGCCTTTTTCCTCTGGGGTATTGGTGATGTACCCTCTTCGTTCCTGTCATTTGGCATTCTCTCTAGGTGTCCTGCCCAGCGGAGCCTGCCTCTTTTTATTTCTGCCACTATCGTAGGATCCTGATATAGATTGTATAATTCCTGGTTGGTTCGTATTCTCCATCCATATTCATCCTTTGTTGGCCCATATATTTTCCTGAGAACTTTCCTCTCCCATGTGCTTAATAGGTTTTCTGCTGTTTTTGTTAGGGTCCAAAAAATACAATAATGTTAAATAACTTGAACATACAAGGTTGAACACATGTGTACGTTTATATTGCTGCAAGTAAATGTTATGTGACACAGCTGCTATTATAAAGATTATTTAATTATGGAAATATGAGTTCTACAAATGCCTTGCGTTACTGAAAGTGTGTAGGGGTAATTTAATATTTGTTAATATCAATGTCTGTCAACTTCTCTTATTGACTTATTTTTTTCTGAGGGTTTTTTAAAGATTTTTTTTTCATTCCCCCCCTTTTTCCCCCTCATTGGATATCTCTCTGTCTGTCACTTCAAATAGTGGTACATTTTTTTCGTCTTGAAATCATTTGCTTATTTTCCGGTTCATTATTTTTCATATTTCTTGATCTGTAACAACGTTTGTTATTCAACTTTCACTTGTCTCAGTTGTAAATAAATGTTAAAATTATTTTGTTGATATTGTGCAACGATTAAATCATTATTAATCTAATGAAAAGCTAAACTGTGCAAATGTATTAGAAAATTATTTTGAAATTTATCTTTGGATTTTCATAAAAAATTTAATTCACAGACACAGCTCTAAGTGCATTCGATCATATTCCTTGGTATGAGTCTCTTGACGAGGTGACAAAATACAAGCCAACAAACCCTGATATTATTCCTTGCCCATCTAATTCAGCCATCAATCATATGATAATTGTGCAAGAACCTCAAATTCCAGATTTAGATACCCCTAATGGAACTGTACACTTTTTGCAGGTTCTAATTTATATTCTTGATCTTTATTAACATTTGCCTGCCCAAAATTTTGATGAATCTTGTGTATATAATTAAAAAATAGTTTTTTGGAATAACTGATGTCTGTGATAATTATTACAAAATTTCTGTTTGACTCTAATGCAAACAAGGAAATGATGAGTGATAATATTAAAAGAAAATTAAATAAAATTTAAAAATTTGATACAAGTTATAAATCATTTAATCCTATACTATTTTATCAACAAATTGATTTTAAATCATTTTAGGTAGTTGGTGTGTTAAGTGAAGAGTTTCGGTATGCAAGATCATGGAAAGCATGTGGGATTATTGGTGAACTTTTGAAACATCCCCAGTAAGTGATTCAAGACGTGTTAATAATTTTTTTTAAAGTATCGAAACTGGTACATAGTTAATTTATTGTAAAGATTAACTTACTTAATTAAAACACACACAAAAGGGAATCATCCCTTCCCCATGCCATTGTTAGATGGAGATAACAAAGTTTTAGTTTCTTGCCTGGTTGTTAAAAGTAGATTGAATTTATTGAAAACTGGCCATCAGAGATCATGATGGTTGTCAAATATACTCATTCACTATTAATCAGCTTTGCTCTGGACTAGGAGTGGCCAAACCAAATAACTTCACTGGCCATTTTAATGGTGAGTGAACTCTTTGGTGGCCACACGTGTTTTCCCGTAATAAATTAAATGAACACCAAGTAATTGATGTGCAGAATTGTTTATTTATTATTAAAACACCTTTCTCAGATATTACACATCTTCTTATGCTGTACACACACATAAATTGTATAGATTTAATTTGGATATAAATCCGCCTTAAATATATGTTATAATTCTTTTATCTAAGTGTGTTTATAACAAGTGCCAGAATATTATAACATGTAACCTGCTGGCATACCAACTCTGCTCTTGTCCAAGAACATCATTTGGGTAGGGCAGTAGCATTTGCACACCCCGCCCCCAACCCCTTCTGAATATTCCGGTTTTATTTAAATGTAGTGTAGTGCCGCAACAACTTGGACAAGTTTTGGTCCCCCCTGAAAAAACTTGAAATGACATTTCTGCTCTTGACCAACCAGCATATCTGGGAAAAGCTGTTTCCAAAAAACAGCTAATTTGAAGGTGGCTAGCATCCAAAAAACAGTAAATTTGAAGGCGGCTAGCAAAAGTATAAGTTTGATTTCTCTTTTCTCCTATTTGAAATGGTACGGAGGATTCCATGGGGTCATATTAAAGCTGATTCAATACAAACTCAGCATTGAAATTTATTTGCCATGACAGAAATCCATTATCCACTGATAACATTTTCACCTGTAGAGTTGGTCCACTGATGTTGACAGATATGAGACGAAAGGTGTCTGTTTTTGACCTCAATCCAAGACTGGTTGTTGACATCCTTAAAAGAATTGAATCAGAAGGATCAGTGTTGGGACGAGTAATTACACACATCTCATGGAGAGAAATAAAAGAAGAGTAGGAGTTTTATGTTGCATTTTAATTTGGTCAGTTTGCTCAACTGTACTCAGTCAGACACTATGAACTTATGCTTTAAATCAAGCTGACTGAAGGAGAAATGCTAAAATAAAACAAAGGCATTGAAATAAGGACGGAAATATTTCATTATTTATTTTTTACAGCTTGAACGATTCATCAAGGATGTTTCTGATCGGCATTATTTAACTGCAGTACTGCTCAATGTTAATTTTACTCTGTCGGTGTCCTTTTTTAAGCTAGAATTGCTTTCTACTACAAGCTTAAATCAGCTTTTTAATTACTTTGCTCTCAACACATATTTTTTGATGGTCAATTTGTAGCACAAATGTCACTCACTGATGAATTCACCAAAATCAGCGCACGATTGAAACCATGTATTTTTTTTTTTTTTTTTTGTGGACATCGGAAATAAAAAAAAAATTTAACATAAAATATTTTCAAAAGCTTTCTCTTGAGATAGACAATATTTTTTTAAGGTTTAAGACAATAAAGGGGGAAAAAAAGTAATCTCATAAATGTAAAATGTATTTTTATTTAGGGATGATACTGGTTTAGCCAAGGATGTTGAGAACCTCAAGATAGATGATACTCATGAATACTATAATATGAAGTCTGTTCATTTAGAATTTGATGCTAGCTCTGGTGAATTGTTGCCATTAATGGTCAAGTAAGCATTTTAAAAAAAAAAAATTTAGACAGTATTTCCATTAAAAATATTTATTAGTGTAGTAATTCATAAGTCCTATTCATACAGTAATGGACAACTGAGATAAGTAAACCTATTTGTGCTACGTAAATGTTTATTATCTTCTACAGTCTAGTTGTAATAGTCTTATCATATCTGGGAAAGTGTGCAAGATTATATTAATTATTTTTATTAGCTAAATACTTTAATGGACAAGGATTTTTTCAAATTTATAATAAACAAAATTAATTCATCATCATTGGTTTTTTTCAGGGGTCGATTAAAACACTGTCAGAACTTTGTTTTTGTCAGTCCTGGTTGTGCTGAGCATCAAGCAATCATGACGATCGAGTTTGTTCCTTACAACAGTGTAGAGCCAAGCGTTCGATTTGTGGATGAAAATATCCCACTGAGAGCTAATCTCAAGACAAACCATCTGCAGGTAGACAGGTTTGCTTCATTAACATTGCTTCCATCAAAGTTGAAAATACAAATAAATTAGTCTGTATGATGCATAAAGTAAATTGAAGATTACCAAATAACACTGCAGGGTCCCCTAAATGTTTAAGAGGTAGAAATTTGAAAAGCTTGCCTTGTTTTGCTTGTTTCACAGAAGGGATAATATTAATGACACTGGAAATCTGCTCTGAGGAATAAATGTTGAATACATATACCCATACAACAAATATTGGGAACAAGCATGAAATTGGTTCTTTGCTATACACAAGTATTTTTATTACTAGTCTCTAGTTCAGTTTATATTCTACTGTTATAGATAAAAATTTAAAAAATAAAAATATTTAAGTTTCAAACATTTTGATTGTTTAGAGTTGAGATCAGTGTTTTTTGTTTTTTTTTCATTTTTGTTAAATCTTTAAAAAGGTTTGACATTCATATAAAAAAAAAAATATATGTATTACAGTACACAGGGTAGAGGAAAAACCTGGACAATACAGAATATCCTAATTTTTCGGCAGATTCAATGCTACGTCTGTTGTTTTGGTGTGCAAAAATATATATATAAAAATTAATTTACCTAATTTTATTTTTTTAGTGCGGCACAAGCAAATGGTTCTTTATCATAGAAAGTAGTAGTCTAGCTCAGGGAATAGCACACAACAACCAGCATGATTTCTGAAATGAGAATAAAACAAAAAAGAGACCATTCTTTTAATCTCAAAAAAATAATATATTACCAGCAACAACATTAGCACTTAAAATATTATTTTCACATCATATTAAGATATAATTCTTTTACTGATAAAAAAAAATGACGTGTTTTGATTGCTCACTTACACCTATGCTCTTTACCCCACCTGTGGTATAGCCCATCTACAAGAATTTTCCATTCATCTCAGTCCTGTGCTTTCTGTTCCAGATGCACCCAGGTGTATACCTTACTCTAAGTCGCATCTCCATGTATTCTTTGCCCTTCCTCTCTTCTCTTTTTTCCCTGCGATTCTATGTTAGGGAGTGTTCCCTCCATATTTTCCTTATGTCTTAAGCAATAGGCTCTTGGTATGTTTTTCAAGTAAGTCTTTGTTGGTGATGATGTTTGGCTATATGATGTTCAAGATCTTTCCAAGGCCAGTGTTTGTGAAGGTCTGTACTTTCTGTGTAATGCTCACTGCTCTTCTCCAAGTTTTGGCTCCAGAGAGTAGGACTATTTTGACATTTGTGTTGAAAATTCTGACTTCGGTTTGCAAATTTAGTTCCTTTGACTCTCATATTTTCTTTAATAGCTGACCTAGCCTTTTCAATTCTAGCCTTGACATCAGCTTCATATCCACCATTTAAGTCAATGGTGCTGCCCAGGTATGTGAAGGCCTCCACTTCTTTCAGTGCATTTCCTGCTCTTGGTTAGCTGAGTTAATCATCTTGATCTTTGTCATGCTTTTATTTATTTTGAGTACGAGCTGTGCTGAAATGGTGGCTACATCATTTGTATTTTCGTGCATTTGTTGCCGGACTGAAGTGCAGTATCATCTGCAAAGTCTAGATCATTCAATTGTTCCCAGTGTGTCCACTGTATCCCTTTTCTCTTTTTGTCTCGATTTGTTCTTATTCCAGTCAATGGCAAGGTAGAATAGATAGGGGGACAGATACATCTTTGTCTGACTAGCATTTTCACTTTAAAGTAAAGTCATCTGTGAGTCTACCTTCGTGGACCACCTTGCATGTCATTTCTTCATAAGATCTCTGCATGATCCTGACTAGTTTTTAAGGTTCCCCATAATGCCGGAGAAGCATCCACAAGGTTTGTCTGTCCAGACTATTAAAATCCTCTTCGTAGTCTATGAAATTTAGATAGGGGGGGGAGTTACATTCTATGGACTTTCTACAATGATTCATAGTGTTGAGCTGTTTTGGCGGAAGCCAGCCTGTTGATCTTGTAGATGTGTGTTGACCTGATCCTTAATTCTATTAAGGATAGTTTGCACAGTTGCTGAGATCCCCTTTCTTTGGTAACTTGAGGTATCCTTCTTTCCTATCTTTTGGAACTCTTTCTTCCTACACCTTTTCAAATAGAAGGTGTAGCATGTTGACTATTGTATCTATATTTGCTCTCATCATCATCTCTGTTGTGATGTTATCTGGTCCAGATGCTTTCCCAATTTAAGCTGCTTGCTTTCTTCATTATATGGTGCACTGATTTCTATTTGTATATGTCCATTTTCTGGTTGTATTTCTGGTGTTTCTCTGGGTGGTCTGTTTTGTAATTCCTTAAAGTATTCCACCCATCTTTTTTTTCTTTTCACTCCGTTATTGATCTACCTTCCTTGCCTTTAAACTTTAGCTGGTCTCTCTGGCATCTTGTATCTTTCTGAGAGCGTTCTTGCTGTATCATAGAGCTCTTTCGTGCTCCCCTCTCTGGCTGTTTCTTTTGTAGACCACCTATGTAGGCTCTTTCACCCTTTTTAATACTGTTCTTTACTCTTCCATTGGTTCTTTTCTCTTCTGTGCTTTTTTCTCTGCCCTGGTGCGGCTGTTCTTTAATGCACACTTCATTTCTTTCATCTCGTTTATTTTTTTGCAATGTGTTGAGGGACAATCTTTGTGCTTCACTGGTCCTAATACCGCTTTGCATGTGGATGTGATTGACATCTTTATGTTTTGGCATTGAATTTCTATCTGGTCATCATCTGGTCTTGCAGTACATGGAACTTATTTCTCAAGGTAGCACTGAATTCATGTCGTTTTTGCTCATTTGCTAGAGGTGCTGTTGTATTTTAGTCATCTAGCAGCTGGCTTTTCCCATTTTTTTCTGTAGTTTTTGATTGAGTCTTGCTAACACTAGATAGTGATCAGATGCAACATCAGTTCCTCTTTTGGCTGGTACAGACCTGAATTTTTTGCTAATGCATTTATGATGAATTTGGTTGTCTGTTCTATTACGGGGACACCCAAGTTACCTTGTGGAAGTTCTTATGTTGGAATTCACTGTCCCCAATAACGAGCTCATTAGCTGCGCAGAAGCCTGCCAGTCTTTCCGTTTTCATTTCTTCTTCCTATACCATGGTTCCCCATAATTTCTTAGTATTTCTATTTTCTTTCCCAATCTTAGCATTTAGATAGTCGACTATCATGATATTTAGATCTCTAGCCGGAAATTTTTCTAGCTTAGCTTGTAATCTATTGTAAAAAGATTACTTTTCATCTTCCTTGCTATCGTTGGTGGGTGCATATAGCAGTTTATTACATTCATATTCATTTTCTTCTTCTTGTTTGGAATGTTTCTGTAATAATTCTTGGACCATGGGCTTCCCATCCTAACCATGCCCATTGTGCAATCTGTCACATGAAAGCGACTCCTCGTGTGTGTGGAGCATTTTCCTCCTCATGCTATGTCAGTGTTTCTCCTGAGGCCAGTTATAACTGTACAGCTTGTATTCTTGTTTTAGGGATGTCGAGCAGTGTGAGCTTGTATGTTTTCTGCTGCCACTTGTGCTTATTCTTCTGTTTCATACATGATTCTTTCTTTTCATGAGCCTATGCTTATTGCCTTTGAAAGGAGGTTTCTCCGTTTTGAGGCTACCAGTATAACCTGCCTTGGCCGAAAGGCTTCATAACGTTTCTTTGGGGAAGAAGAGCCCTCTCTTATCAGGGCTGAAATTTTTTTTTTTCTTGCTGACCTTTCTGTAGAAGTTTGTATTTACAGGTGAGGAAGCTGGCCTTACGCCAACCCTCCTCCTTTCGTACCTGGGTGTCGGACTGGCCATGACGAGTTTGTGTTTTGATTACATAGTAAATACGCATTTTCAGCATAACAACAAACAAAAAAAGACCATAAACAATTTTAAAACGGGACTATTTTAACTTGACAATCGAGTTTTTTTTTTACTTCAAAAATAATTTGGGCATGTGACAGTGTACGTTGGCAATGATGTGCTTGGGGGAAAATTATTAAAACCCTCCATAATTATATTCTTTGAAGTATGTGACAAAATGTGTGTTAAACTTTTATTGAAAACTGTAAATAGAAGAAAAAAAAAACTCACAAGAAACCAGACAAATAACAAAGACATCTTTTGAGTAAATCTAGACAGTGACTCATCTAGTTTTCTGTTTTGTAAAAATTGGCTACATAATTATATTATATAATATATGATATGTAATTAAAAAAAAGAACTTTATTTCATAAATATTGATTACAATGAATAGCAACCCTCAAAAAGAAATAACGTAAATTTTTTCTTCAGATTTTATGTAGTGAAAGATTCATTGATAAACTGGAAGTGAACTTCACTGGTCTTGAGAGGCTTAGAGAGGTACCGAGTGTATATTTAGACAGACATTGTAACATTTTGTATCATTTTTATTCTTAAAGCGTACCGTACAAGTAAGATTCAATGTCTAATTTTTTCATCCAACTATACCCTATATTAATTAACTTTAGCAACAACAAAAATGGCAATGCCAAAATTATTTTCTTAATGAAAGATTGTAGCTGTTGGTGCAAAGTTATTTTTATATTTTGTTGTTGTTTCAGCAAATGGACTCACTACCTATGCAGATCATGGTCACAACAAAACAAATGAAGATCATTTTCACAATATACCATATACTGAAATGCAAGAAAAATTGCTGAACTGGCCTTTAAACTTCAAACTTCATTTGATTTACCACTTTTTTTCAAAGTAGCTTGTTTTTGTTGAAATTATCTAATTTATTTGAATTTGCAATTTTTTAAATGTTATTTTCATATCAATGGATGAAGTTTTGATCCCATTTTGTGTTTCCACAATAAGTTGCTATTAACACATTTCTCTACTACCCGACGATGCATTCATTTTATCTTACTGTAGATGATCATTCTAAATCTAAAGCCTGTTCATTCATAAGCTGACCCCATAAAATAAAATGCCAGCGTAAACAATATGTTACCTAAGAATATTTAGGATGAAATATGGTGAATTGTGGCATCATCTACTTCTGGTATTTCGTTTTAGTATTAAAAAGTTAAAGCTTCTGGTAACGTATTTGAATCTTAAAGAGTTTAGGTAAGACTTGGACTTTGGTGATGTAAAATAACAATTTATTATTCAATATACCTGGAAGAATATATTTTTAAAATCCTATGATCCATCTCAAGCTGAACACCCCACTTATTCAATTCCCCTGAAATATTTCCACACAAAAAGTGTTGGCTTTAGAACAAGTATATATGGTATTCACAATAACATTAGTTTTTAACGGAAACTGTCAACCATTTCAGAAAATGTTTTACAAATTTAACTCCCTGCTTTGGCACAAGGGACTTCCATAGTCTTTACATGGAGTTACCTGTATTTTGTTAAATGTAATGCATTGCTTTACTTTACTTCAAAGAGGAGATGCTCTACTTCTTCTAGATCCTCGGTGTATAGGTCTACACTGAAGTTGGAAATATGAACAACTACATATGTACATATGTTTCGGAAACAAAACTCAACCAAACTGCTGTACATATTGAAAAACACAAAAACAACTTTATGATTTATGCCTAATTTCCTAGTCACAAGCTTCCCTTGTTTTCAAATGAACCATTTGTGGCTTTTAATCTTAATGGAAAACACTAACCTTTACACTAATTGTATTTTGTAAAAAACAATTAGGAAAACCGTCCATTTCAAATAATAGACATGTTGGAACAATGTAACTTTCAGGCAGCATTTAGATGGAAAATATTTGTATGGGTGGTTTTGTAATGTTCAGAAGCAATGAACTTTGTATATTTTAAATGTTGATGCTGGAAAAGTGCATTTATGTTGAAGTCCCGGTACTATGCATGTATTCCATTAGTTACATTTGCCTTTCATTATAGTTAAAATTGTGTTTTGTCAAGAACGTAATCATTTTTAATGATCTATATTTATTTTATATGTGTTCTCTGTGAACTGGCAAGGCTGTACTGTCAAAAAGCAATGAAAGTATCATATACAACTTATTGTTTGTCTTTCAAGAAAATTATATTAAAGAAAATGAAATTAATTTTCTTCAGGATGTTTATTTTACGCTGTAGCTCTAATGGTTGTGGAGGGAAATTTTAAGTTCAGTTATAAGTCAAATGTTCTTGAAAAGTCCAGTGGATTTGACACATTTTGAAAGGAATAGGACCATTTTTATTGGTTTCACAGATTTAACACTTTTTATTTGAATAATTTGGAACCAAATTGATTTTTTTAATAACATAGAGCACCCAAAATAATATAGTTTGGCAAGAATTTTTTTTTTATTCACTACTGTTGTTCAATACACATAACAATAACTGCAAGGAAATAACAATACAAAAAACAGTAAATGATTTGGTTATGTCTATGGAAGCTATTCAATTTCTTCACCAAAACAAAGGAAAAATGTGTAATGTTATGAAGTGTCTACTAGGCAAAGGGGATGAGTAAACAAAATTGATGATGGAGAAAAATTTAAGATAGCTTGTTTGGGTCTTGCACAAAACTCATTAAGGAATTTTTAAAATTAAAAATTCCATAAAATCCAAAAGTGTTGGTTTTTTTTACATTAAACCTTTAGATTTACCGGTACCCGGTATCTTACATCTGAAAATAATTTTCTGTAATCGGCTGACTAGTCTGTAAAATACAATTGATGCACATTGTTTCAAAAAAACACATTTTATTTTATGCACCTTGTGTTCCAACCATAAAAAAAAAATAACAAATGGATCATGTTATTCATGTACATATAGTTGCACACAAAAAGGGGCTATGTTTCAAGACTTACACATACAAGAACATTATCCTGAAATAATGAATTAAATTTATAATACAATTACCTAAAAACATGCAGACACTTGCATACATATCACAACATATTTGTGAAAATCCTATGTTTACATCATCATTTCATTCTTATCTTTCAAAACTATGGTACAGATGAAGTTAATTATTTACATTCACACTTTTTTTTTCCATATATAGCATAGCACTTATAAAGATTTTTAGACCAAAGAACATGAGCTGATTGTATTTCATATTGGTTAGCTTCAATCAGACCACATTTGAATGTGAAGTTTCTTACAACTCTTTGAATCCTTTGCCTAACAAGAAAATTTCCGATGAATCATCTCTGCTTGCTTCAGGTTTCATAACTTTAACTTGTTCAAACACTGTCCTCATTGCTGCTTCAAGCCTGGATTGGTCACCACCTGCCCATAGCTTGCATACCATAGTGCCCCCTGGTGACAGTGCAGACAGGCTAAATTGAAGCACGGAAAAGCACAAGCCAACTATAATTTCATGGTTGTGAGACTTATGACCAGTTGCTCTTGGAGCCATGTCACTAAGTATAACATTAGCTTTGCGATCACAAAGGATTTCTTTCACTTTAGCTTGTGTTGCCACTTTGGTGAAGTCACTGCCTGGCAATAGGTAAGCACCTTCAACAGGAGACATATGTTGTAAATCTATTCCTATTACTAAACCTTTAGGTTTGTTTGGATCTGTAATTGAAAATATATGTTTTAAAACTAGTTGTAACACAACTAAAAATAAATAATAAAAATAAAGACAATTCAGTCAAAATATTGGGAATAATTATGGAGTGGTTATGCTGGAAGTTGTGATTCATTGACCTGGGAAGGGTGTAATGTTATATAATTATATGGACATTTAGCTGTTTGACTGTTTCAGAGTCAGCAGATTCCCATTCTTCACTCAGCTGGTGACCCAAGGGTAACATCAAATGGATGATACAGCTTGGCACTAGGGGACAGGTAGGAGTTATCAGAATCGTCCAGTCCGATATTATGGCAGAACATCTCATTATTATTATTTCTTGTGATGTACTCTGAAAGCCTATTTGAACTATTTTTGGCTACTTGTAATATAGTTTAAGCAATAAACTAATTTAAAAGAAATAAAGCATAAAATTTATGATTTAAAAATCACAGTGAAAATTATACAAGATTAAAGGCTGATATAAGAATTAGATGAATTATTAATCTGCCTTAATTTTAAATAAGTCAATAACTTTACACTTTAATTAGATAGCCCACCTTTCCCTGTTGAATTAACATTCTGTACTGCAACTTGGCACCAAGATCCAGGTGCTGCGCCACAGTCGATAACAAAATGACCTGGTCTAAGGATTTGAGTCTTTTCATTAATTTGTAATAATTTAAAGGCACTGCGACAACGATAGTTTTCCAAGCCTGCTTGTTTAACAAAAATATCTCTTTTCTGCCTCTCTAGCCACCTGTTAGAACTAGATACGTCTTTATTTACTAAATTAGTTACACAAATATTTCTTGAGATTGAAATTAATGAATCAAGATAATTTGATTTTAAGATCGTTGATATTCGTAACTTTGTCCCAGTTGGGACCATCGTGACTTTAGTCTATAACTTGTATTATAACAAATCGCAAGTCGCATCTAAGACTTAATAGTACATGCGGTATTTAGATTAAACAGCAATCAAGAAGTGACTCCGTTTGAAGAATTGAAACATAGGTGAACGTCATGAACAGTAGCATGCACCATGATACCGGTAATTTGGCTACAATAATTCAGTTTTGAAATACATATGTACAAAACCATTATTGTGTTTATGTCCAGTTATTATCAAAGAACATAAATCGTGGGCTTTTAATTTTAAAATAAAAAAGTTCCTGTTCATTTTAAAATTAAAAAAACATAATTGTTGAAATTATTGTCACCCAAAACATTAGGCCTAGGCCTACATTAAAATTGCCATATCTTTTCTGCCATTGATCTTTATTGTGTTTAGTTTCATTATTAATTTGAGACTGGGAAAGCTACATTTTGATCTGGGAATATTTAACTTTTTCAGTGTACAATTATTTGTTTTTCAAGTCTGCTGAAGAGGTCATTGAGCTGAAAGTCCTTGTTTTGTCTTTTTTCAAGCCTAAACTTTATAATTACCTTGTTCCACTATTTATTTACTTCACGCGGCTTGAAAGCAGTCTCTCAATCATCCTGCAATTGATCATATGTACAGGTGTTTATTAATATTTTTACATTTATTGCATTTGGTAATTCGTTTAGAACAATTTCTGTTTGTTTAGAGACTTACACGGTTCAACTTTGTTTTTATAGACATTTTAACGTTAAAATGTATCTTAAGCTGTACACCCACAAACAAAACTTGGCAAACACATGCACGCTCCATCCCACGGTACGTATCTTATATTATGTCAAAACACATAAAATCGCAATAAATCCGTCTCACATTGACCATAATGATATACCAATATCAACGTTTAAAAGTCACATTAATTATTAGATTAGCTGCTATTTCAAATTTGAAACCGCATTTTTTGGTCCAAGGGTCCAAGGTGGTAAACGCAGCGTGTACTGTATGAAGTTTACCGCGGTTGTAGACGTATTTAGTAGTTACTTTGTCATTTTTTAAATTTTAGTTAAAGTTAAAGCTTAAATGATTAATAATTATTACAATTTTCTTAACACATTTTATTATTGTTGATAAGTAGAATATTTTTAATAAACTGTGATAATATTACTAATAAAAAAAAAATACTGTGACAAAATAATGACATTTTGTTAAACTCAAAAGTGAAATCGGAAGGAGACGTTAGTTTTAGCCTAAAAATTTTAGGAAATATCCGATGACTTCTTAGTTTCACCTTAAAGTAGGCTAAAGTCTAAAGGCGAGTAAAGTTTAGTTCAGTAAAGGAAGCGTCAAAAGCTTTCCAAATTAAATAAAAGTGCATACTGTAGGTAAAGTCTTAGTAAATTTAATTAATATTAATAAAATGACCTTTACTAAGCAGAAAGCTAAGACATGCATTATGATAATGCATTGTTGCAACAGGGATACTCATAATTTATAATTTAAAGTAAGTACATGACATAATAAATAATTAAAATATTAAATAAACCTGACAAAGTAAAGTCAGGCCTTTTTTTTTTACACTTTTAATTTTAACTTGAAATTGTAAGCCCTGATACTTGATAAACGTGTCAAAAATTATATTATTTTAAAGCATTTTTGATGATTTTTCAATTTTGGGACTATTTATTTAAATTTATTAAATTAGCCTACTTTATTCAATATTTTAGTATTTTATTTAGATCTAACACTTCAACTGTTAAAGTACTCACTCAAAGTCCATCTAAATCATTTCATGTCAAAGTCATGTCATTGAACTCATTGTCATAATTTTCAAGAACTTTAATAAACAATGGTATCCAGGGAGGAAATGTAGTCAGTTCACCTAAGTGCAGGGACGTTTTTTCAGGTGGGGTGGGGGGGGGGACCAAAACTTGTGCGGCTTGTTGAGTTGTTGGTAAATGCAGACCATTGGTGCCATTGCCATGATTAATGTTGTATCACATGGCCGGCACCTTGGTTGCCACGACCCGTGAACTTTCACGGGTCGCAGAAACCAAGATGGCAGCCGTGGAAAATAAAATAACTCACATTTGCTAAAATTAGGAATAAAACGTTAAAAATTAATGAAAAATGTCATAAATGTATCCCTAAACTCTAAACGTAACTTGAACCCTAAATCTATCCCAAACATAACCTGAACCCTAAACCTAACCTGAACCCTAACTATATCCCTAAACCTAACCTGGGTATTGACCCTAAACCTAACCTGGGTATTGACCCTAATCTGAACACCCTAAATCTAAACCTAACCCAAACCATAAAACTAGCCCTAAAGCCAAAGCCAGATGTAAAAAAACATGTGGCACTTACACACTGTGGCAAGAAAACTATGAAAATGAACAAAAACAATAAAATATGGACAAAAATAATTATAAAATAAAGAAATAATGAAACCCCAACTTACAGTTTTATGAAATACACTTTTACACACTTTATTCAGGTCCCACCGAAAGGAATATCCAGGAAATGAATAATATATAATACAAGGCCTGCCGTGAAGCCCAAATACATCAAAATATGGGGGGGGGGGGAATATTATAATGACCCAACCAAGGAAACTTTAAAATTATAATTAATCAACCAATAAAAATTTTATTTAAAAAATGCCATCATAATATTAAGGAAAATTTAACTCTAGTTACAACAATAAGGGGAGTGAATCCAAAACACAAACTTTACAAAAATCACGAAACGACGTCATGGCACCAATTCTCTGCATTGACCCTGTTTATTACTGGAGGCCTCACAGTACATAGCAATTTAAATAAAACCTGCAAATTCCCCCCACCCCCACCCACCAAAATGATGTCCCTGCCCAAGTGGTCACTGTTTTGAAACTTAAATAAAATTGTTGTGGGGGGGGGGGGGGGGAATTTTTTTTCCCATTCCTGTAGATCAGGCTGGCACAACTCAAAATGTAATAATATTATTTTATGATAAACTTGTGCAGGCCGAAAGATAATAGGACAGGGTGGAAAGCTATTAAGAAAATAATAATAATAAAGAATATTTTGTTACTTCGTGGGCTGCCAAGTGGGTACAGCATGGTGTGCAGGCCTGCTATAGATAATTTGATGCTTTAAACACTGTCATTGGTTATCATGAAAATTGAGATTGTTGGAGAATGTATGAGAAATTAAATAGTAGACGTAGATTAATTCAACTTGATAATTTTTCAAAGAAATTCTTGATAAAAAAAGTGGAAAACATAGTATTGTTCGGCATAAAATGCTCTTTTAAATTATACATAAAAACAACCTATTTAACAAAGAAATGACAGTGTACTGCTTTTTTTTTCCAATGCATGTGCAATGTTTTTTTCATTTTTAAGTGGAAAAAAAGTTGAACAAAGGGCATGTAACTCTGCAATGATTTGTCACTCGCAGAAAAATTAATTATTCTAGTACCTATTAAAAGTCTAATTACGTGTGATCATACTGATACAATTGTGTGCAGAAATAAAGGCACTCTTGGGTATAAGATCTGGAGCTGTAGAAGTCAATCATTTCATTTGCCCTATCTAAAAAAGTCTTCATCTGACTGGCAGAGGTGACGATGCAGTCTTACATGTTGGGAGCAGGATATGGAGTCATTGCATGATTTTGAATAAAATATGAATACAATAAGTAACTATGGCTTTCAGTTGGTTTGTAGTTGACAGAGGGGAATAAGCTCTTTTCTTTTAATTAAGTGCAATGTCCAGAAAGCGTACAGAATTCTCAGAGATTTGTGAAGTAAATTTAATAGATAGATGATTCGTGTTTAAAAACTCATTAAATTGTTAGAGTTTACTTGTGTCCATGTTAGTGATGCCAATGCCATCATCAATGTATCTTTTGTAAAAATTCTGGAATTGCAACTGAGGTAAGAAAAAAAAGAAATAATATTTGAGTTAGAATCTTTTTTGTTGATTTCCTGTGAAATATGCTTTAATTGAAATATATTTTTTCAAACGAATTATATACAATGTTAACTTTCTAAGTAAAGCCTTTAAAAACTACGTAGCACATTTAAAAAAATACAGTCAAAATAATGTATTTAATATAACATGACTTTTTAAATGATGTAAATGTGTCTGAATGCAAGCAATAAAAAATAGAACAACAATGTCAATTCTTTTACACTTACAGAAATCAAATATTTCACTGTACCAGTTAAACAAACTAATATAAACATAAAAAAAACAGTGTTTTAATGCTTGTCCATCATGTGACATTGACCAAAGTCAATGAAAATTATCTAATCTATATTTATTTGATATAAGCACAATAAAATGTTTTTAAAAGTTCTATTGAAATATACAAAGAACATGCTCTTAATTCAAGATGCTTACCAGGTCATGTTTCACACAAAACAGAGATACTGACAATGACTCCATATCAAGATGCATGAAATAAATTTATATAGCACCAAATTTTATGCAATTTAATTTTTTGATGTTTTGTCCACTTTTATGCGGAATTCACCTATGAGAAATTAATAATTAATTTTGTAATCTGATGAAGAAGCTGTAGTATGAATCCCCCAGATTCCCAGATATCTAACCCTTATACCTGGGCCCTGTTGTAAAGTTATCCTGAAAAGATCTTTAAAGTGACCAAACGTTCGCTTGATGATCGTCTTGCTTATTTCAAAGTTGCACAACATCCAAGTTTCACATCAAAAGTGTATTGGCAAAGTAGGAGCCAGTGATAATATTGTTATTGTTTTCTAAATTATTTACAAGGGTAGGGTGAATTAGGAATTTTTTTTTTAAATATACAAAACTGATTCTTATTTTCGACATCATGAAAAGGTGCGACCTTATCTCACATGGTCTAAGGGGAGCCAGGATGTACCGGTATGAACTTATATTATCATAGTTATGAATATGGCAGAGTGACCCTCATTGCTCTTAAAATATCATGTAACCTGTATTGTGTATCTTTAAATGTTTAAGAAATGTAGTCAACTGTTTGACACAAAGTAGAACTTTTCAATAAAATTATTATTTTTTTACCCACAGTGTTTGAATTCAGGACAGAAGCAATTTAAGC